TCATTTGTTTATAATTATTGAAAAATCAAGCGACTTCCTTGAAGAAAATTCTTCAATGAATGTCAATTTATCTCGAATACACCAATGTTTTCTTAAAAACTTCTCATATATCTAGTTGATCTTAATCAATAGTCTGTGACTCAATTGAAAAACTAAGCTGAGCGTTGTTTAGACTATTCTCCAGAAAACAACTCGATGGAATTTGGACGTTTTCTGACTAGAAAAAGGTCATATTAATATTGCTGTTACTTATACTTCGATATCATATTGTAAAAGCAGAAAAAGACGAACCCCTACATAGTCATATTTTGAAGGAGTTGCTAGTAATTTTCTTTACTGTGATCCGACATTCATGGACAGCTGAAAACTGTATTGAAAAAAGCTTTAATGGGTTTTATTATTTTGTTATGATTGTTATCTTTTGTTTTTACTTCAATGTTATCATCAATAGGAATGGCGAATCATATTTTGAAAAGAAATCAAATAAAACATCATGCGAATTTCGGTTTTTTGATGTGGCTGTTGTTATATTTATATTATTAGCATGTACGCTTCTCATAGAACGTTCGACGTTATACATGAAAACACCAGCATCAACGACTGAGCTCATTAATTCTTCGGCTTCAACATCGTGTTCATCTCTTAATGTGTCCACTTTGCGTCTGATCACATTTGATTTGTTTGGTGCATTAATGTTGACTGAATCTTCAATGAATGGTAATATTGCCTCTCTTTTGCCGTCATTATCCTTAGATGATGTCCAGAAATTTACAAAGGATTGGCTTAGTGCATATGAGTCGTTTTTTGGAAAATCATTTCCACCATCTTTAACGCATCAACCTTTTCAATGGGTTATTCGTTCATCATTAATTAAAATTTTAGATTCATTCGGCTTGTCCAAAGCAGTGCCCGAAGGTAGTGTTACTTTCAATGCTTTGGTATCTGCATGGGGAAAATTACAACCTCGTAATGCTACTAAAGAAGTTCTCATAAGACTGAGCAGAAAATATCAATTAGGAGTGCTTTCCAACGGTGATAGACAGACATTGCAATCAGCTCTAAGTGTTTTCTCATCTTCAATCAATATCTCGTTTATATTATCGTCAGATTATCCAGTAAACTGTTTCAAATCATGTTCAACAATGTATGCTCAAGCGTTAGCTGCAGTCGATGGAGATATGACAAAAGTTTTGCATATTGCTGGTTCAGCCTATGATACGCATGGTGCCCTGATTTTTGGTATTTTTTCAGGCGCACTAGACAAATCAGCTATGCACACTAAACCAAAACCATGCTTTGCTTTCGACAATATCGTACAACTTCTTGCATTCTTTGATGTCTAAAATAAAGAATAATCTGATGCTTTACTTTCATCAGCATAAGATTTACATTGATTGATGTATATAACAATTAATCTGATCTCTATATAACCATTAAGAAGTTGTCATTCGATGAATGATTCCCGATATGTATCTTGAGGGTGTGGGTGTGGGTGTGAGTGTGAGTGGGTGTGGGTGGTTGTGAGTGTATATCAAGCAAAAATCCACATCCACAACCCACAGTCACACACCCACACCCTAATTTTACTTAACATCTATCTGTTTTTTCCTACACCATCGTAGTTTTGACTTTCTTCTGCTCTGCTGTTCGTTGTCGTAATTTCTCATGATACATTCTATATGTGGATAATCCTTATGCAAATTGTTGTTTTATTAAATTTCTTAGCGGCGCCCGTATATAATTGCATACCTTTACACCTTTCTTGTGTCTGATGTTCGTGTTGTAACGATTATGCTGCCTTTACCATTATTCTGCAAGATAATAAAGCAGGTGAAGGGACATGTTAGATGAGCACTACATCGTAATTTGTAATGGAGCAACATACGATGAGCATCATTTGTAGCACCAAATTTACAGTTACGTTATGCATAAACTACAAAATTTGTTCAGTTGTGGGGTGTGGGTGCAGGCGTGGATACGGAATAAGTGCAGGTGCTGGTGTACGGTTCTGAGTTTCTCTTGCATTACATCCACATCCTCAAACGAGAACACTCAACGCCTGGTGATAACATTGAGAACATTCTTCGATACATTGAAAATGTATGAAGTTTTTAAATGAAAATAATTTATCATAGAACAAATATGTCATAATTGACTCGAGCACATCAATCAAGGTGTATTTCGACAGTATAACAGGTCAACAATCATCGATCTTATAGTGTGTGTTGTTCTCGAGCGAGATACGACTGATATTCATTTTAATAACAGTCTATCGAGTTCTTGAAATACTGTTATTGAATGATGGAGTGACCGATGCACATGCCGGCAACTAACACATTCTCCCGAGCACACACTTGTACACTAGTAAAATATTTTTGTTCGGCATAGCTTGAAACAAGCTGAGATTTTAACAGCCCAGCCTTGTTATTCTTATATTTCGAGCATTTCTGTATTTTTAAAGTAGTATGAACACCAATACTAATCTATTGAGTATTTATGATTAGACTACATGATCTTGTTCACTGCTGAATTCTAGCTCTCATTTGATGACTGATATTGATAAATTGCTGTATAAGAGTGTTTCGAAATATTCCACTTGATAAAATGTTGATGTAAAATGTTTTGACATAGTTTGAAAACCAGAACCAGCGTGCAATATACATAAATATGATATATAGAAGTAGAAGCAGTTGATCAGTTGGAGCATTATTATAGAAATCATAGAGAGCGACTGTCATATAAGGTATGTTTAGAATAACTGTTACAATCGAGTGTACCAAGAGCATGGTGATCAGGTGTAAATTATGTCGATTTAAATTTGGATTACGTGTTGCTACTATTGTTCTATTGCTGCTTGTATTCGACGTTGTGGCAATTCGCCTACGGCTTAGTCGTACATTTCGATGGATTAACAAACCAAAAATCAAAAGAAATAGAGAAACAATGGCACCATTATACATAGAAAAGAAATAGCCATCGATAATTAAGGAAAGCTGAAATACATTTGATGGACTTCTACATGGGTCTGGTTTTTCTGGTGTGAATGGTATAATATCAAATAAAAAAGTAATATGTATTGAAAATACAACCTATATCAATACTACTAATGATATTAATATACGACTCACTTTCAGTTGACTCAATTTACGAAGCCGAGAATCATATGAACTTGTACAGAAACGATCAATACAAGCAAGAGTAATGAATGTCGATGATAGACAAGGTAGAAGATATATAGGATATTTGCCCAGTTTACATCCAATTCTGCTTGAATTAATACGATTAAATAATGGTGGATTTAAATATCTTAATGCATCTATCATAAGAACAGCGTTCATAACAAAGAAATCAGTAATTGAAGCCGAAAGAAAATAGAGCGAACATGAGTTGTTTCGAAATTTTCTCTGACGAAAGGTAAAAATATTGAGTAAAGAACCGAGCATTCCACCAATATATAGTACAATCAACATATATTTGTCCATCATTAGAAGAATTATCGAAGCTCGTAATACATCAAGTGATAATCTCACTGATCTATTCGTTGAGTTAGACATGTTGTTTTCCTAATAGACGTACGTTGTATAATAAATGAAAGTAAAATTTCTTCGTTTTTTCTTCTGTGTACAAGATATACGATAGTGGTGTAATTACACAAAGCTGAAGGTGTAATCACATTAATTAGTTTCGAGTTACGTGCGCATATTTGATTGTATAGTGTGACATATATTCTCGAAGCATGCATTAGATGTGAAACATTTTTTTGAAATAGAAGATCTTAGCTTAACACATTGATTAAAATTAATGATAATTCTGACAGTAATTATTCGATAGCAAGGGAATACAACACCGTCTTGTCATATGATATGTAGTTTCTGGCGCAAAAAAAATAGTTGACTTAGTAGAGCATTAAGTAAATTTTTTTATGTCGATCAGAGATCAAAATCTTAATAGATCTGTTTCTGTATCATAGTACAAAAACTCCTTTGAAAAAGATGTGGGTGTGGGTCATATGTTCATTCGCACCTTCACTCACATCCACACCCAACGATATCATACATCAACACAAGACTATAGATTAGAGAAGAGGATCAGCTCGAAACAGGGAACCTTAATATAATACTACACAAAAAAGTGTAAAATGGATCCTCTTAGACCCCGCGATAACAAATAAAGGTTAAAACAGCAAACTATTGAACTAAGGATGATTCTTGTAAAGCAGTGTCAATCAGTTCTTTTAGTCGGGTCATGTTAATTTTGATTGATGCATCATGACGAGTATTTGATGCTCCAGGAAAGTCCAAAACATAATCTGCGGCACTGCGCACTTGATAGTAAAGCTTGCGAACATGTGGAAAGTAATTGAAAAAGAATTATTTACCAAGAACATCCAGTATTATTCTACTACATCGGACCTCTCCTCGTTGACTTTCTGATTTCATTCACTGAGCATTTCAATGATCGATATGACAGTATATGTGTGGAAGTTGATGGCATTGAGCAACTTCACCCCTCTTCAGAATACTCTCTCTAACACTGACACTAACAAGCATTCATCTAAAGTAATGTATTCGCTACTTCATTCCTATATATACATCTATAGCAACATCTCATACCTACGCTCATATCTTATTCTATGAAATGAATATGATTGGTGAAAGCTATAAGCCATCTATAGTTATGCTATCTTTCATGCAAATGGAAGTGCACTTTTCACTATTAGTATTTCATGTTTATTATGAAACTACAAACAAGTTCTATGTTGACCAATGTCAGTGAGTTCCTATTCTTCTATGACGATATTTGTCATTTCTTCGCTGCTATAGTAATCGTCAGTGAGAATATAGTCAGTTTTTCTGTAGACTTCAATGTCGGCGATATCAATGTCAGAATTTCAGCGTTGACACTGAAACTGTAAATGCTTCTCCCATTGGCCTCATTGTTATCTTTTTTTTCGTTAGTTCTTCCATTCCCTCACGCTCGGACGATCTTTACGAACGACATCAAAGAGCTCCGTCCATCGAACCTGATTCTCCTATTCTATATCTCTCGCCCTTCAGATATGCTTGTTTATTGACATAGAAATCCATTATGATTGCATGTGTTCCTTCAGGTAAAAATGGTATTATTGTTGAGATACCACCACATGGTGTGATTAATATAGTTGTTTTGTATAATTCATGCATTTGTTGAGTGAATGCATATTTAGACCAGTCAATTACATCAAACTTTATTTTTGGATATGTCGAATATATAAAGTGTTTAACTTCGACAAGATTTTTAATGCTACGTAAGCTACGACGAAATGCCCGAGTTTTGTTAACAAGTACAATACGATGACGTGATGGCAAATGAGATACATTGACACCATGATATTGTAGGATAGCAGTACGATAGTCATAGAGAAGTCTTTCTTTTCCGTGTGTATATGGTTCATTGCCAATAGAAAACATTGAATGAGCACCACCAGCTACAATAGTTCGAAAACATACAAGAGGCGAAGGAAAACTATTCGTATAATCATCAAGACTATCGACATCTGCAGCAACAGCAGGAACTAAGTTTTCATACATTCGATAAAATTGACTTCCTTCTTTTGGAAAATTTCGATATTCAATAAGAACAGCATCTCTATCATATTCATTTAGCCTAACCATTGAAAAGTAAGTAGATGCTATGTCTTCCCAAATGACATGACCAGGATTGAAGGATACGTGCCAATGCATAAATAAAACATGAACGTTATCTAAATAAGGTACTTTATCAACGGGTGGTAACCATTCTTCAACAATTGTTGGTCCCCATGATTCACGATGAGTGGCACGCGCAACAAGACTAACAAAGCCATGATTATTTATATTAAAATCATACATACGACCAAGTTTAAGGTCAAATAAAACTGGCGTTTTAATGCTGCCTGGCTTACGATAAAACTGAAATACTTTTCTCTCTTTATTGTAACAGATATTTTTGAATGCACAAGTTCTTCGACGCCAATCAGATTCATAATTCATATTACCCGTACAAGTCCAAGTTGACTGAAAATTCGAACCTTTGGACAAAGTCGCTCCACTTATTTTCTCTTTACCTTGACTTACTAAAACTTCATTTGTAGATGTCGTATTATGAGGGCTATGAAGACGGTAAACCATCAATAAAAAGTACGAAGAATAAGTCGCAAGTATCATAAGAGAACCATATAGAAACCAAAGCAAAATTTTTCTTTGTAGAAATTTAAACTGTGCCATTTCGTATTAGCTCTTTTGTTTTTCTACGCATGTCTAAAACAAATGATTGAAAAGTTACTTTTCGTAGTGTTTTCATTGAGCTTTTGTCTACTGTAGTACAACACAGATCTAGAATATTACCGTCTGACAAACGACACAGAACTGCAGCTCTAAGCTCAGGATCACATAGGGTTAATTGAAAAGAAAAAACAGTTTTATCGTGGTTCAAAATGTTTAGTGTCGTTGGACATGAGCATGAGTATAAATGTTGGTGGGAGTGTGAGTGTAGGCTTAACTGCAATTTTCGGTGTGACTGCATACGAATGTGGGTCTTTGGTCGTTTCTCTCTCTCATACCTTGATTCACTGCAGTATTGACAAGCACAATAATATTCATATTAACATTCAGAGTCCACACGCTCAGCTATTAGATGTCTAAGAAGGCCCAAGAGATTTGTTTCACATCTTGATGTCCTTCCATGAGAGCCACATGATGAATAGCATGGCACAGAAAAGATGATTCGGTTATAGCACTCAATGATGTGTGTGTGTGCAAGTATGGGAGTGCCTCCAAGCACGAGACTATATTCACACCCACACCCGTTGAAAACTAGTGCTGTCGCTATGGCCGTGACTGAGGTCACGCCCAGAATTGATACCGATTCCCAGGCCGAAAAATCTGATGGGACGACATCTTATCGAATGTTGTGATAAAATTTAAGAGACCTAACATGATCAGGTCAGACTTAAATCAACGTTCTGTAGTTGTGCTCTTTCCTATTTTCTATCATTTGTTTATCTGTTATAAATCATTAAATTTGTGACGTCAGTAATAAAAAAACTACCGTCTACTCTTATTATGTCTTTACTAAAAATCAAACACGAAATAAATCCAAATATCGTTATCAAAACTCAGTGCACAGATATTAGCACTCATGTCATCAAAATCGTGCAAAAACAATTGCTATTTGATCGTGATTAATCGTCTAAACTAATGACTTTTCCGATTGTCACTACGTCTCGACATGCATACTACCGCCTCTTCCAAAGTACTCTCTAAAAATACTCGTTTCTGTAAAAATTTAAGAGCATTTTGGAACAATTTTCTTTTACTATTAGAAATCCAATAGTATTTTCAGAAACCGTGACAGTATTATAGGAAACTAATATTGCCAGAAAAACTGAGTTAACATCTGAAAGAGTACGCGAAAATGCATTTTCAATTTTCGAACTTCCTGAATCTGAGGATGGAATTGGGGACCGAAATCAGTTTTCAAATTTACGTTCGACATCCTGAAAGATTTTTCGAAGTTTTTAAAATCTTCAGGATGTTTTATAAAACGGTCATGATTAAAATACTAAAAGTTCTCAGAAAAACATTTTTGTTGTTCGAATATTCTTTTCTGATCCTCGTTCGTCTTCAAGTTAAGAAGTTTTCAATCAGTTGAAAACTGCTCATATATTTAGTATAATGTATTTAATTATAGATCATTCTTTGTTTGCATCATTATTTTTTTTAAGTCTGAAACCATTTCATACTTTCGAAATAATCTAATGATATCTTTAGATTCTTAAATTAGTGTCAATTTTGAATATTTGAGAAAAATTATGATGTTAACAGTTTGCAAACAAGTAAATAATAATATGAACGTAAAACCTATATATTTTTTTCTTATTTTGTTTCATTAAATTTACATGAAATAACGATTAAATATAGCCATTATAGTTTTTAACAGCCGCAAAGAGTGATAAAGCCAGAAACTTATGACTTGAGGTTTTTATTATAACTAATTTATTCCTAAAAGTCTCAGAATTGAATGCTTTCAAATTAAATGAAAAGGAAAATGTTATCCCTATACCAGAAGCAGAACTCGATTGGAAACTAGTAGGGATTCTTGGACTGAGATCAATAAACGATTAATCAAATCCGTGTTGTTGCTAAAACACGGAACTGTTGTACAAAATGGTTATCTTTACTCACACTGGAGGTCCATTTGAGCTTTGGTTCTATCATAATCTTAATATTCATCGACAAACTAGTGCTGGTGAAACGGTGATATTTGTGTATGATGTGTAATTGTCAGAGAAAAAAAACCAATGAAGTCGTAATAGTGTGCGTCTTTTTTAATCGTTCGATTAATTGCACATCAACGTTGATGCAGCCTACCGAGTAACATAAGAAAGAAAAAGTAAAACGATGACTTTTTTCTTTTACCAAACAAAAGACGTATCTTATATATGCGATACTCATCTTATTGATATCAACGGATGAATGCGCAAAATGCAATATGCATGGCCATGTATACATTGAAGTAGTGTGCTTCATTTTTACTCATATAAAAGTGTCGCTACCTTGCCGTATTCATCTAGTATCGAACCAATAAGATATTGCACAGATATAACCAGTCCTAGTATGTTTTCTGCAAGTGAAGTTACTTCACAAGGCTTTTGTAGTAGTGAGTTTCTAGCGGTCTTTTTATTCCTACCATAGAAGCACTAAAACTTTTTTATGAAGTAGTTCAAACTAGATCTCAATTAAAAGGATGAATACCAAAAACTGATATTTGTTCTTTTAAAAAATTATGAATATAATGAATAATCGATATGACAACCATCAGTGATTTTACAGCACGAGTATGAGACTGATATCAACATAATATAATTTTAAGGCATGGATTTAAGTGATCAGTAAAATAGATGATATGATCAGTAGGAAAAAATATTATAAAATCAGTTGATTGAATGAATGATCAGTTATATATTGAAGTACCAGTAAACTATATATATGATCAGTTGTTAAATGAAAAGGTGACGTAATAAAATTTGAATATCAGTAAATAAAATAATATAGCAGTCAATTAAATCAAAGAATCAGTAGAGAAGTAAAAAGTAGGACAAGATGAATCGCTTTGTGCTTTGTTGTCTTTCTTTCTTTTTCTTCATTGACCTATATCTACTAGGGAACTGCAAAATGGTCCAGGTCCCGGTCCCGGTCAGTTTTTATGCAATATATTTTCACGTTTATTATTTTGACATGATTTAAGATCTGTAAATCAAATATTTTTATTTTCTATTTCTATAAAAGTCTTTACTGATTACGAGTCTGTATGCAAGAATCTGAGTTTTCCAATTGCACAGGTTTTTGAATACATATAAAACAACCAACACAACACTATATACGTAAGTTTAATTTGTTCATTCTTCGATGATTTCTTTATTGAAGTCTTATCAGATAATAGTAAATAGATATGTATCGCCGTTTATTTTTTTTTTAGACAATCGTAATGGCTACTCAGTATAAATAATCAATTCGATAATAGATCCGTTAGGTAGAGCAGTAGATATAGAAGAAGAGAGAAATAAGTAAATGACTGCTACGAAGTATATGAGAATTTTTAACAAAATTCAATGGTTATTTTTATTTATTCGAGCTTTCAGTGAAATTCTTTCACTTTAACACTGGATATAAAAGAATTTTCGTACTGTTAACGAATCAAAATTATTCATGTCAATTTTATGTATTCATAAAAGTACACAGTTCGTAAAAAAAAGTTGCTCGATTTTAGAAATGAAACCATTGTCAAAGACCCGGACCGGGACCGGGACTGAAAAAAAATTTGACCGGGACCGGGGCCGGGACTAAAAAAAGTGATTTTGCAGTTCCCTAATATCTACACAATGTAACATATATATGCTTTTCTTTTTCTTGTTCCTTCACGTTTATCATATTGTTAACACGTAAAAAATATGGAAGAAATCCAGGTTGCTCAATATGTAAGTGATTTATCAGATGAAGAAGTTTATAAAGAAAGTAATGAAAAACCTCAAAAGAAGAAAAAAAGAACAAAATATTGGGTCAAAGAAGCTGTGTTTGATAATGCTGGTGAAGCCGAAGCATCACTTGGTAACGCATGGTCGAGTGTGGGTGTGAGTATCATAATGTTTAAATATCCACACCCACAACTTCCTCATTCTATATTACACATTGCCAATAATTTTCATCTTTTTTACTGGTAAAATCTGTCTTATTTACTTATCAAATTTCTTTTTTTTACTGGTACAATTGATATTTTTTTACTGCTATTCTGTATAATAAACTGATCATTTTCATATTATTTACTGGTAATCTAAGTATTGATCATTCAATATCTTAACTGATCATTCAACCTTTAAACTGATCATTTATATACTTTTTTACTGGTACTTTCATCCATTTTACAGATCAAATAATTTGTTGCCAATTTTAAATGGGTGAATGTTTGCTTGTATGTTGTCAAGAATATCAAAATGTGATTTTTTTCGATACTTACCTATCAAAATAATCGTGCTTCGTCACGAATAGCCATTTTCTTCAGCTTCATACTTGATTATTGTTCCCATATTTCCAGACCACGTATCTAATATCCTGTGATATTCATCATTTTTTATGAGATCTAATTAGAACTACGTCATGAAAGAAATTTGTCTTTGCTGATAGAGCGTAAAATTTTATGCATTTTCTACATTCGGCATTGAAAAGTTGCCATAAACCTCACTATTTAGTGTTGGATAATGCCATTTTCAATGCGCATTAATTTGGTATAAAACTTATTGTTGATGCTTTCTGAAATCACAGCGTTACCTGTGTGGAAAAACATTTTTACGCAGTCTGCTTTATTTTGTTACTCGAAAGTACTTAGTATCTCTGATAGATAAGTGTCAGGTGACGAGGAAAACAAGTGATTCAGAAAAATGTTCGTGGAAGCGGTTCTCTTTAAGTTAGTATTTGGTCAAGGATGTACTTAAGGTAATGCCTTCAGAGCGAATACTTTTAATAGCGTAATATCTAGTTTTCTTAATGTACTATTCTTATTGTTATGTGTATAATATCATTAATTATTCATTAAAAAAGTTTTTTTTAAAGTTTTTCAAACATTTTCATTAACA